CCACTGTTCTCGTCACTAAATGCAGTTAACTAGCATACTTTGGATAGAATATTTTTTATGAAATCATTTGTTCTAATCTAAGCATTTATCATTATATGCAAAAAGATTTCTTGATGAGAATATTATAGACGGTGCATGTTTTTGACATTAGCATTTTATTTGGATGACTAATCTTGCAGATGTGAAATTTTAATGAATTATTCATGAAATTGCTTTCCTACGAAATTTTAGTTTGCTCTTAATGCTAGTTATTAAACATTTTGTTTTTTTTTCTCTATAAAATTTGATGAAGAAAAATAAGGGTGTGCTTCCTTGGGAGAAAAGGTAGCCTCTCTTTTTTTATTTTGCCAATTCTCTAAGTGCATACTTTCACTTTGAAATCCTGAGGGTAAGAGCCTCAGCCCTCTGTGATGATGAAAGCTTTTCGTTAAGATTGATTCTAATTCTGTGTTGGAAGCAGCTGGTGATAAACCTAAGGCATATGCCTAACACAGTGTCAGCAGGTCAGAAGGGGAAAGAAACTTAGGCTGTGGCGACTTTTACTACCAGTGTGAACAACCAGCATTTTTATTGCATTTGAGAATGCTATAATGTCAGTAATTAGCACTGACTACACAACATTTTTTTAATTGTCTGTATTCACAGACACGGAATGATGGAATTACAGTTGATGTCAAGGAATGAATCTCTTTTATGCCTTATCAAAACAAAACAAAACAAAAAAATTCATGTCGCTGGCAGCACATCTCCACGAAGCACCACTCTCAGTCCGGACCACACCACCTCCAGCGAGGTTTCTGGTAGCAGGGGCTGTGGGGCCTACCCGGGCCCACAGAATGCCTTGAGAATTCTAAGTCTCATTCTCAAGATAAAAAAGCGAACGACTTTCAAAAACATCCACAATATCAAGAGGGTATATACCATTCACCAAAAGGTCCCCATAGATTTAAAATCCTTATAAGCATGTTCTTCTTTGTACCTTTGGAAACGGAGCTCAGCTGGGATGTGGAGAGGAGAGGAAATATTTTTTAACATTTTTTTGGGGGGGTGATAAAATAGCAAGTGATTCACATCAGATTTGGGTTAAGCATCCAAGGTGGTGTTTACTAGGTCTGCGGAATGCTGGGAATAAAGTGGGCGCTGTCCGAAGGTGGCAGGGCTCGGTGGTCACTCTTCATGTACATAAGCCTTGACATTTCATTTCACTGCTGGTTCAATGCGGGCAGTGTAACTTGTCTTACGAGGACATAACTCTAGGGATAAGTAGGATGGATCATCATTCCTGACAGTGCATTTGCCTGATAGAAGGGACTATCTCCCTAATGTACACTTTTCTTTGGGAAAAAAAGTAACAAATTGTCTTTACATCTTGGCACCTTGTAAAGTATTTTTTTTTTCATACAAAAAGTCCAATAGCTTTGACACGCCCCATTATTAATCACCACTTCACTGATAAACTTTGAAAGTGTGATCCTGGAATTTCATCATGCAAAATATTTACTGCAGCAGGAGAAAACATTTTTAAACAACATTTTTTTTTTCTCTTTTCAAATGAACTTGTTTTAAGATAGCCAGGAAGGCAGTGGTAGGATAAACACAAGGGATAGGAATGTATCAAAAAAACCAAATTAACACACATACACACACGCACACACACATACACACACACATACAAACCTGTACAAAATGCTCTGATCAATGAGAACAGAAAAAAAAAAAATCTGTCAACTATGTTACAATTTAAAAGCAGAAAAAAAAATAAGCTAGGGAGTTTCTCCCTCCCACATGTCAGGAAATGTCATCCAATATTCTTAAAGCAAGGGTAACTAAATGAAATACATGTGCAGCATATTCTGCAATTCCATTACATACAGTAGTTTTTTTTTTTCCAAAGCTATTTTTTTTAGTATCATTAATATAAAGCAGTTGCACAAAAAGCAAAGGTGTTTTGACAAACAGGTGTATGCATTTATTCCTTTTTAGGAACATTATCTAAAAAAAGAACTGCCCTCTGCCCTCCCCCAAAAAAGACAAAGATTCACACAGACACATCGGGATATATGTACAACATAATAAACCCCATCCTAAAGAAGCAACTGGAATACCCCAAGGGATACAGAATCAGAATTGTCAAAATCATAGTGAAGTTTGCTTGCTGTAAAGCCTGAGAATTTTTTTTTTCAGTTGGTTCTTCTGCAAGGCTGTGATACCTGCAAAGATATGTAAAATCTAATTTTTCTTTTTTTTTTCTTTTTGCTACAGTCTTTAGACTAAGCATGCAAGACATACGACTAAGTGCAACTGAGTGAAATGTATTTTTTTTATTTTAATCATTCCCTAAAGGTTTGAACTGAGGTATGCGTACTAACAGTTTCTCATGCTGTTATCTTTACTCATGTCTAGCTACACATGCTGAGAATGAACTAATCTACCAGATTTTTATCCTCTTTTGAATACCAAACTAACCAGCAACCACTCAGTTTAGAAGCACAGGGCCTCCTTCCCATGACCCTGTCTGGCTACTGCCTGCACATCATGAAGCTGCCTGGAAAAGTTAAAAAAAAGTCTCGAGTGACCACAGACTGCCCTTTATACAGAAAGCAGAGTGAAGCTTCAAAAGTAATTGCCAAAGAAGTTTTTGTACCAAGCTTATGAGTGAATGGAAGTGTTACTTTTTTTTTTTAAAGGAAAACGCTGAGCAAAGCCTAATCAGAAAAAAATGGAAAATTAAAAAAAGAAAAAACCAGAGGATATATGCTAAGATAAACGAAAAAATAATGCAGTGATCATAGCATGGTCCTTAAACCAAAGTGGCATACAATCTTTCTTTAAAAAAAAAAAAAAAGTATTCTAGAAATACTGTTATGTGATCTAGAATTCAACTATGGAAGCTTTTCTGTTTTCTCTGAATTTTATCATAACTGTCTCCTTTATTGGACACCATAATTTTCAGTGAGATACATTCACTGTTTTTTTTTTCTTTGAAATGGGACTCCCTTCTTTTGCTCCTTTAATACAGTGTCATATTTTTATCTGTAGTAGCCCCGTAACTTCTCTTGACAAGAATAAGTTTTGGTCTCTGTAAAAGTCTAGAATAAAAATTTAAAAAAAAAATTAAAAAAGTAACAACTTTGGTTCCATTACCTACTTGGTTTTCTAAATTTACTCTATGCTGAAGGAGCAGTTCTCTTTCTCAGGTTAGCAACAGCCTATATGTCATCAATTGCCTCTAAATTCTTTTGCCTCCTTTGATCAACAATAAGAGGATATTTGGCTTCATCAGATAAAGCATAAAACAGAGAACATAATTTAACTTTGTGTAATATCTTTGGTAATTTTAGAAAAGAAAGTATAAAGAATATAAATTAAGCTCCAAAGGGCTCTCAAAGTCAAATAAAACAAAAGCTATGGTCCTAGATAAATAATTGAGTGACAGGAAAAAGGGTGCAGCGTGGAAGGGTTGAGGGACTCTAAGGACTGAGGTTGTACTGACCCATGACCATCACATTCTGCATGTCCAGGCTGAGATGGACCCCCATCGACTTGACGTCTTCTACTGTTAGTTTTTGACACTGGGCAGGGTGTGATAATATTGCATAACAAATCAAACTTCGGTACAGAATCTGCACATTTGAAATTAACACTTTAGCATCTGCTGAACTCAGTCCTCTTTACCTCCCATAACAAGTTCATTCTGAAATCTAATTTACATTCAAACAGATTAATGCCACCAAGCAGGTCTAAACTGATGTTTAAATTTAGTTCTACCACCACTTTCAGCCAAGTTGTTCAGTGGCACCAGCTTTTTGGTCATTTTGCAAACAAAGTGACTCAGGCTGGTTAAAAGAACAGAGCACACAGCCCTGCAACTTGGTTACACCAATGAGAGCCTTTCACAGTCATATTGTCAGTCTATTACGGCATCTGGGGGTGGGGTGCTAGGTTTCCTTGTGCTGATCAAATGCGGTGGCATTTATTAAGAATAATGGTAGCTGCAAAAAAAAAACGGGGGGGAGGGAGTAGGAAAATCTGAAACAACCCCCTTCCCACCTCCAATACTGCTTCGTGGAATGAATCGGCATTGTTTCTAGAGTCTCTGTTTTTTTTTTTTTTTTTCTGTCATTCATTCTCTTTCTGGCAGGACTTCACGTCTGTGTGAGAGGACCTTCATGTGTAGACTGCAGCATTTGGGACCTTTTTGAAAAAGACCAAAACGGAATGTTTTCTGACTTTAGAGAAAACGTGGTGATGTCTGAAGGAAAATGGAATGAGTGACAGAAAACTACAAACGAGAAATGACATTCAGCTTTGTATAATAAAAACACCTATTAACATTCATGACAAGGTACAGAAAACTTGAAGCCTCCACGAGGCCACGAGCCCCAATGGAGGCCTGAGGTCAGAACTTAAAAATGGTATAGTAGAGGCAAAAAAACAAAAGCAATACATTAAAAAGTTTGGGATAATTATTTTTAACCCCTCCCCCCAATACACACACAAAGGCCTTCCCCATCCCAACTGGAAGCAAAAAAAAAAAAAAAAAAAAAAAATGGAGTAAAGGCAGTGATAATCAACATGCAGTACTGTGCAAATAGGTCGTCCATTGGAATCCTTGAATTCTGGGCAGAGGCTTGGTCTGCAGCTTAGGTGCACATGCTCAGTTGGGTGTCCTCAGTGTCCAACGCTGGCAGGACTGCAGTTCAAAGTCTGCTGCTAAAAGTGAATCAGTTTAGCAAATTTACAACACTGATGTTGACTGTTAAGAGAGGAAAATCCCAAGTACCAAACAAGTCCATCCAATGCACAGAGTACAAATTCCTTTTTTCAACAAAAAGTAGAAAAATCAAAAATACTCCCAAATGGGATTCTTGATGGCACTAAGAGTTAACACATTTCAGAGTTGTCAAAATGTAGTGAAAATCCTCCAGACTGTACAACAAATGGAGAACAATTTCACTGCTAATTTTTGACGTGTTTAGCTTTGTTTTTTTTTTTTTCCCCCAATCTTCGTTCTTGGGGTCAGCCCACCCAGATATTCACTCCATGTCCTCGTTTACTGGTTCGTCTTCATAATCTCTGTCGTGGTCAAAATCTGGACTGTGGTTGGCTGTTGTCACTAAGGAGAGTGGCCCTTCAGCTTCCTCTGGATCCAGGGGCTCTTCTTTGACGTGTACAGGATGCCTGGAAGAAAATGAGCGAAGGTTCACTGAGGTCCATTCCCAATCCAAAGCAACTCTGGAGTTCTGGGCAACAGAGAAGGCACATTCAACTACAGTGGACAACACTGCAGCCACTCGCCACATCTGGCTACTAAAGTGAAAATTAATTAGATGTTAATACAATGCAAAAATGCAGTTGCTCAGTTGCATGGACCACATTTCAAGTGTTCAAGGGCGACATGTGCCTGGTGCACAGGCCGACATGTGCCTGGTGGCTGCTGTGTTGAACAGAAGAGAGAGACAGACAGACAGAGAAGGTGCTTTGGCTAGTGCTCCTCTAGAATGACTGCTCTCTGGACAGAGTGGCCTCTCCTCCTCAGTGCTGTTTCTCACACTTTGATGTGCATTTGAATCGCCCAGGGATCTTGTTAAAATGCAGCACGTGACTCAGCAGGTCCCAGGAGTAGCCTGAGACCCTGCGTCTCTTATAAGCTCACGGGAGAAGTTGCTGGTTCAAGGAACACACTTTGAGTACCAGATAACAGCCCCAGTCATGGCATTCAAGGTGGATGAATACAAAACTTCAAATAATTACGTGAAATAAAAATCTGTAATACAATGGTGGTTTATGGGGACCAGTGAGTGCGGGAGGCAGGGCTAATCATGGCTTGCTGTGTGTTCTGCTTTGCTAGTTAACATGCAGAACCTGTGAAAGAACTCTCCAGAGACCGACCCCAAGCGAGGTTCTATCATTAATCAACTTCAAGCAAACACAGCAAAGAGACACCATGATACATGCTTGAAACTCCAAATTAATGCATATTTTTACAAACTGTCAATAAGGCAAGAAAAGCCCTGGCAGGAAACACAAACGGAGAGGAAAAGGCTCGCTCAACACAACAATATGATAAGAAAGCAGAGCCCAATCAGAATAATAACGCTGTCAGCTGTAAACAAGGCAAAACATGAGACCCGGCTGGTAGCAGCCACCGGGACGTGGCCGCGATGAGATCTGCCAACTTTCTCATTATGGACCAGCTCCTGGTTCACCCAAGGGGGACCACGGGGGATCACACAAAACCACTCAGATAACAATTGAGAAATGTTGTTCGTAAATCATATTTACAACCGATCCTTTGCAAATACAAATTACTTTCCGTTGCAGGGCTTTTGATATGTAAAAGAACCATTCAAGTTAAAAGGGTCCCATCGCTGGGACAGGCTGCAGAAGGCAGGATTTTTTAATTGACATTATCAAGTATTAGTAATAAGAGGTGGTACTGGGGATGGCTGGCTTCCTAAATAATTGATGTTATATGCAGGCCCCAAAGGCCACTTGAACCATTTAAAAACAAACAGAGGAGTGCTTTGGACTGCCCTTGACAACTTGAACCTTCAGAAAACCAATTGACTCTAAAATTAGCGCAGCATAGAGAATTTTGGGGCGGGGTGGTAGATGTCTGGATAAATAGCCTTTAAAAAATCGGGTCCACTCTTACAAAAACTACTTGCAAAACGAGATACAGTGGTGTTGCTCCACCTATGTGTTGTTTTTTAATGGACCTATTTGTGTTTCCACAGTAAGTCTCAGGACTGGCTACAAAACGCACAAAGTCTAATACATAGGAAAAATGTGGTTCAAAAATTAGTAAGAATTTCAAGACGGAAATAGCAGAGCATTAAAACAAGTAAGGGTCCCCATAAGCAGGGATCCCGAAAACCACCACAGTCACATGTCCTTGAGGTCGGCCCCATGAGGTCAGGACCCCCGATATTTATATGGGAAAAATTAGGTGCATTGAATATTACTTAAAAAAAAAAATCACTCATAAACCTTAATTAAGGACAATTTTGTGTGTGTGCTTATCCCCTCCCACTGGGGATATATTTTTACATATTGCAAATGCAGGAATACTATTACTTATTTTGCTAGCTTTACAGTTATGAGTTTTATGGCTATATGAGATTCCATTGTGTTGACATGTTAGTCTGGTAATAATGTACATTTTGTGACTGTCTCCCCCGTCCCCCACACTCTGCTCTTTGTATAATGCAGTGACCATTTATCTTTCTACTTCTGTTGATTTACCTTCTCAGGATAAATTTCTAAGAATGAAATTGTTGGAGCAAAGGCCAAAACATCTTTATGGTTCTTGTGATTCATTGCGATATTAATTTGCAAAGGGGCTATATAAATTTAGACTAAGCCTCATCAGCACCAAGCACTACTTTTAAAAACATTTGTTCCTTAGCAGGTGTAAGGTAAGCTGAGGTGAAATTGTATCTCTTGGATTACAGACAATGGTAACCATTTCTCATATTTCAGTTTCCTATTTTTTCTATTAAGAACTGTTACTTCATAAATTACCTCTCATCTCCACTGATCACATGACTCTGGTAATGTTAATTGGCCAGGAATGTGTCTGTGTTTTAGTTAGCCATGTAGTGAGGTTCAAATATAGTTTCCCTGACCAACATTTTCCTACTCTCATTTTTTTAAACTATTAGATTTGTTAATATTTTCAGGCTTATAAACCTGAATTTGATGATATGAGATTATGGGCAAAAGGGGGAGGAGAGACCTAGAAGAAATGAACAGTTTTAATGAAGTCCTTGCTTTATCATTTTTGACTCTGATAAATGTTTTTCTGTGAAAAAAATCAGATGTATGTAAAGACACAATTTACACTAAAGACTATTTTGCTCCCCCTCCTCTGAAATTTCCAGCTGAATATAAGTAAGATTATTTACCATCCCAAAGACACCGGTTCTGACCCTTTTGTACACCCTGGCACAATCCCAGTACAAAATGCAGAGTGGGTTATCGAGAAATGTCACTGAGAAAGAGATCTACTGTGTAAAAACCTGACCACACAACTAGGTGAGATATTAAGACTTCTTAAAATGCCAACTTTTCAGGATGTTTCTTGATACCAGCAGATCCCCCTGAGTGTGGCAAATGTGGTAGCACAGGCACACAGTGCTTCTGAGAATAAAAGAGAATGGATTTCCAGACAAGATACATTTCAAGTATGATGCAAACTATTTCAGATACGAAGCCTCACGTACACCCACTGTGTCTCCCAGAAAGGGGCTCTGCGATGCACCTTCCTCCCCATTCAGATTGCTGTCCCCCGCTCCACCTCTCTCCAACTCCTACTCCTAGAAGAGCTACCATTGGAAAACTGGGCAAAACCACACATTTCCCTTTTTTTTTTACATCTGAGTAATTCCTTTGTTTAGCCACTCTGGGAACACAAGAGTTTTAAAATAAAGCTGACTGGTGTTTAAAGGCATTGTGTTCTGAGGGTGTGTGCACAGCATGGAGTATTTTGCTTTGTAGCTCCTTTAGCTCCAATCAGGATAGAAGTGTAAAGCCCCCAAGTCGTAATTATGCAGCTATTTTCTAGTGTCTCAAAAGAGAAAAGAAATGCAGTAGTATCTGAGTGCCACAGAAAGGGTATGAATAGTGAGTTGGTTTCAACACTAGATATTACTTGGGCTGCCATACTAACAAGGTCCTTTAAGCCTTGTTGAAAGTTTATGGCTTGATTTATTCCAACAGTCTCGAACAGTTAAAAAACAATTTGCATCATAGCAGGGTAATGCATATTAGACAAGAACGAAAACTATGTCATTACAGAATTCACTTAATGGAAATACGGGGTCAAAAAGAGTAGCAGTCTATGACACTGATGGCAGGATAAGGAATCTGCTGTTGACATATAATTATATTTAGCAAACAATGTAAACCTGTGAGATCTGAGCCACAAATGGTGTACATTTTGATGTCTTTATGCAGACGGCTGTAAAGTATGGTTTCTGGTAATACTGGGGTTAATTCAAAGTGGTCAACAAATTAACGGTATAGTAACTTTATCTTCTACCACAAAATTAGCATTACTCTAAACTGTTGCATGATGTCTTCTCCCAAATATTTTAAGGGGTTGTCTGTGCACAATATAAGGAATGTATATCGAATAAACTTGAAATCTGTATAGATTATAAGAAAAAGAATCACTGTCATTCAATAGCTTCAGCCATTTTTATTCTAACGGGTATTTCTTTAAGTGGCTTATATCTCAATGTACACTTGTTCTGCACTTTAATATCACAGTAAATTCTACTATCATGGCAGTGACTTAAAGATGAATATGAGGTGTGATAGCAGAGTCAGAAAGACATGTGATAGCAAAGTGAGAAACACTAGGATGTTTTAGAAGGCATGAGATACGGCACTGTAAGTATAAGAAGTAAACATATTCTTAAGGTGCCGTGGACTAAATGCCGAGGGGCTGTTTAAGTGAAAAACAATTATTTCCAAAAATAAATAAATAAATAAATAAGATTACTTCCATCATTAAAGATTCTTTTCAAAGCACTTTGGCCCTGATATTCAAATGCTGAATAATCAAATTTCAGATTCCCAGGAACGCACCAATTATCCTGGCAGATAGTATTTTCATGATGGTCATTAGATGCCAAATCATTCTGTTCCTAATTGCTATAGGTCATATTTTCCATTGCTATCATTCAAATTATCTTAAAAAAAAAAAAAGATGTTGATCAGTAATTCAGAAAGACTGTGTAGACAAGAGGTCCATTCTAGGAGCTGACAGTATTAGAAATATCCAGTTAAAGCAGGAAGTTGCTTCCCAGACACTTGCTAAAAAGGAGAGGCGCTCATTCTACCCCTAGTAAATCAAATCATTGGGGATGATATGGTTTCTTTGCACTGTTTTAAACTTTTCTGGGAGAGAGGGAGTTGTTACAGTCACAGTTCCCTCCCATGTCCTAGCCACCCCCAGGGGCATCACAGCTTCGCACTGGTCTTTCTGTGGTTTCTTGGTCTGGGTGCCATTCACATTCAGCGTGGACAACCATCGCCCATCACTTCATTCAGTTATATGTGTGCTCATTACACTGCTGTCTGCTGCTATAATGCTCCTATTAATTTTCCTTTTGATATTTTAAGAGCAATCTATAAATCATGCTGCCTTTCATTTGTGCCATCATTAATGCTTGGTAATAACACCCCGGCATCTTGTTCGAGGTTAAGCTTATCAAACAACCGAGTAAACAAGGATTCTTTTTCTCCCCTGCTAGGTTCACCAGGCCCAAAAGTTGAACAAAGCACAAAATTTTACGCAGAGATGCATACTAATTTTAGGAGAAGAGAGTAATGTGGCTTAAATAATGGCCCAAGATGACAGCAGAGAAAAGAAAGGAAAAGTGTCAGCCATTTTAGTGCTGTGTGCACTTGGGAGGGGCTGCATAAAGTTGATGGCTTTTATGGAAAAGTCAGTAAAAGATCCTTTTATGTGCTAACATTGCTAAGCATTTCCAGAAGCACAAACTTCCACTTGGGTTCTAAAAATTCAGAGCGTACAAATAAGGTATAAAGTGCTCCCAGAGAAATGACTGTATGCACCTCACCCAGGAGAGCAAAATCTGCAAGCAAAGCTCTGGGCAGTGGACAGTACTCACACAGCTTGCATGGGCGATCTGCCTGGACTGCTGTCACTCTCATTGCTGTTGGTATGCTCCATTGTCCCGTTGAGCTCTTCCCGTATCACGCTGGCTAAGTTGCCCAGAGTGGGATTTCCCATGGAAGCGGTAGTGTATAGAGGTATACTATTCTCAGCCATCGAAGCCTGCCATCAACCAAGAGAAAATTTATTAAGACACAAGGTATGCATACACAGGGAAACTATTAATGATGGTGTATACAGTCATCTTCCACTTAAGTTAACCATACCATGGTTGGCAAACTCAAGTTTCTAATAGGTACAGAAGGATTTTCTTTCAAAGTAAAACTGGTGACACATATTCCAAGTTTGGTTTTGAAAAGCTAGGTGGGCGGGCTGGAGAGATGTAAGGGGGGGCTGGGAGGAGTTCCCTGGGGAGGAAGAACCAGTTCAACCCTGCTGGGTAGAGTCACATGGCTTAGACAAAGCTATCTAATATGAGGTTTATGTCTGATGCCTTTTTTCAAGACGGACTGAATATTTCCAGATCACAGGGAAATATAATGGGATTTTCATTTTTTTTATCCACTTTGATGACTCCAGTATTGGATATTGAAGATTTGATCAGATTATTCTGGCCGCACAGCTGAAACTTATGAGAACTTCCATAAACATTTACCTCTTAGATCCTATAGAAAAGGAAGAGATTATAGAATTGGAATCAATTTTCATCTCCCTCTCCCCATCATTTCCTTTTTAATGATTTTTTAATCTGTTTAGTGTAGTCTGAGATAACTGAATGAAGGTAACACCACCCAAACTTTCAGACTCAGAACAATCACTTGGAATTTTAGGACTAAGGAAAAAAGTCTCTGGCAACAGGAAGCTCTAAATCATATTTCTTTGGGGGTACCTTCCATATTGTCACCTTCCATATTGAAGGTGACAAAGTCACTCCAAATGAGTGTCAGCACAAAAAGTGTGGAAATGGAAAAAAAAAACTCCTAAACCCTATAACGGGATACGATTCACATCCTATCTCACTGCCTTTAAATAAAATAACCACCCAGTTGGAAATGCAGACAACCGTCAATTATATCACTAAGGTGTCCATATTGTTTCATCTGGGTAGCAATTATGACCCAGCAAAAATTTTTATTTTATTAAAGAGAACAGACTTGCAAAAACTGGCATCTCTAATTAGACCAAGATTTATCAGAAATGTCCTCTTGCAGACTATACCAGGCCTGATTTTCCATCCTAATGAGGAAAAGGTAAAATCACAAGACAAGCTGGCATGGTGACTTCAATCGGCCAGTCAAACAAGAGTCCAAACATTCTGGAAATCCTGGCTCTCACAGAAAAGTAAAAGCCAAAAATGAAGAGAGAAAGGGTACAAAGCAGGGCTGCGGAGAATCTATATATTACGCAATCTCCATCTCACACTACGAATTCTAAAGACAGAAATGACTTCTCGATATAAGCCTAGCCATGAAGCCCCATCCACACCTAATCCAGCATTGGCTAAGGAGCTATTTCAAAGCTGGGCCCTCTGCAAGCCCACAGCTTTTCTTTCCCTCCACTTCTGAATTTATAGAACTGCCTCCTTTAAGGAGTGGGGCGGGGGAAGAGGAAAATCCTGTTTTATTTCCAAATGTGGCAAACTCATTTTGATGAGCAGCAAATCTGAACATTCCTGACTTTCCTACAGTGTGTCAAATAATTTGCATCAAGTACTTTTTTGTCAACGGATGTCTTGTAATTTCAATAAAGCATTTTTCTCTTTTTTTTTTTGGCAGAGCAAAATGCAAGGATAGTTGCCAGATATTTTCTCCCTAGTCTGCAGCTGGACAAGCATCTTAACTGCTATTATTTGAGACAAAACAGTGGTCATGCCTTTCATAGTCATGGCAGTGTCATGGGACCATCATCCAAGTCTCTTTTAACTAGAAATGCAAGAATGGCTCGCTCAAGACTATTTTGCTATTACACAGTCACAATGTGGAAAAAGTGGGCCATCGCTGGCTTGGTATTTTAGCAGGTCCTCAAGTCAAAAACTGATCAGACAAAAATGAAGTGTGTGTGAGAATATGTTCTTTGATTGAGTTGGTCACCCAAGAGACAGGGTAACCTTCTTGGGATGATCTGATCTTCTTGGCTTTCAAAATGATCTAGGTCATTTCTGATGGAGATTGCATCATGGACTGAGGCCACAGTGGTGGGACAGGCATCCAACAGGCAAGTCCTTATATTGAATCTTGGTTCTCATACAAGAAAGAGCCAAGTGAAGAAAACCAGCCTTGTCCCTTTATAAAATGATCAAGTGGGCAACAAAGAGAACCCGGTGCCTGACACACAATTATTTGGTGAGTGATCAAAGCCAACTACCCACTATTTGAAAAATATTCACTAACTATCCATACCTCACAAAGCAGTTCTTTTCTGTAGCTCATGTACACATAAGAGCGTTGGTGGGTTTCAGTTTTTATAATGGACTTAATTGTATAAATGGTCCTGTGCACAGTATGTGTTTTATATCTCACTGGTACCTCTGCCAAAAAATGAAGGTACTTAAGTAATGATGCCGTAGTCCAGGAGTACTATCACGCTGGAACATTAAATGCTCTGAGAGCCGAGGGAAAAGGCAGTCTATAAATACGAAGCTTTACGGTTACCCTTAGTTACTTCACTTTTTCAGAGCATAATGTAATCTGTCCCAAGTCCAATGTTTTATTTCTGTAGTAGATTCTGCTGTCCTATTTTATAAATTGTATATCATGCATTATGTTGCTTTAGTAATCTTTTAAAGATGTTGTTCCACTATTATTTTTACTTGTCTTAAAAAAATGGAAATGGGCAATAAAGGAAAAGGAAGGCCTGCTGGTAGAATCTTTATTTAATTTGTACAGAAAAAAGTTGTCTTTGAGACTGTCTACTGGCCAACTCATAGAAGAAAGGGCAAAGATTCACTCCTCAAATCATGGATTTATATCAACTTATTCAGCCTCACCTCACTGTGGAAATAAACTTTTCTTGAAAACTGTGGTAGAGTTTTGGGCTAACACTAAAAACAAGAAAGGGTGCAACAGATGCAAAAAAAAAAAGGTTTTAGAGCTGAAACATGAACAGTTCTGTAATGACAAAGCATCCTAATTGAAATTAGTCACATAGTTAAGAGAATCCTGAGGATGGAGGAACACTGCTTTTTTTTTTTTTTTGCCTTTCCGCCTCATGAATGTAAAATGTGCTTGTCATCTTAATACTGTTCCAGATAGAGAGGCTTTTAAATTCACACTTCACAAGACTCCAGGGAAAATAAGTTACTAATGAATGGTATTTACAGTGGTGGCATCTAAGCGTGCTTTCATTTGCTTTTCTAAAGTTACTGGGTAAACTACAAATAATTAAAAGCAATGTGGAAAGGAGTTCTTCCTATTAAATTTGGTTCAGGCTAAAAATAAATAAATATAATTACTGAAAAGATGAGTTCAGTGAATTTGTCTCTGAACTGAAACTATATACAAGGTGAACCATTCATTCTTGGGAGCTATTAGCCTCTACTGAGCGCTCAGGGAAAATAATGCTGTAGGGTGTAGAGTAGGTGCTCAATAAATATTTGTGGACTGAGCAGTGAGAGCCAGGGCTCCCATAATTACCTCCTCCTTACCCCATGCTGTTTTAGTAATGTCGCTCATTTTGCAAGTTTTCACAGTGATCCCTTAAGGAGCCTTTGAAAGACTTTATTCCATTTGCACCCTTCTCTTACAAAATTTTAGTGTCTGCTCACATACGATGGCCTTTTGGAGGGGAATAAAACATTGTAGTATCTAACAACCAATTTTCAGGTGCTGTAGCCCCCATCACAGCAAACACAGGCTATAGGGGTCTGTAATAACATGGGATTATAAATATTAGACCAACTGATCTATAAAAATAAATATATATGTAATATCAGTTAGGAGTCAACATTTCATTGACCTGTCATTGAGAATAATCTAGAAAGAGTCGTCTTCAAACAGGGCCACAGGCACAAGGACACTGCCTACCTATGAACTCTTGAGGGGGTCTGGGAACAATCCAGGGACTTTAGTGAAGCAGTACTGCAGAATTTTTTTCCGCTTATAAGATGACTTTACTGTCTGGTAACTAAGAAATGCAATAAATAAAATGCTTGCTCAATACAAGGGCTGCCCTGGTAACTCCTATCTGGGCAGTAATCTCACGCCTGCTCAATTCTGGTGTCTCCATTCCCCAGTAACGTTGGTTACCTAATGAGTGCTGGGTCTGTCAGTAGAGGAAACAAACATTCGGTGTGCTTATTATGTAATTTTGAGCAATCTGCTGGAAAGCTAAACCGTCTCCTTAAACACCTTCACATTTTAAACAAAAACAGTTTACTTTTATAAAGCGAGCCAAACCCGGATCACCCCCGGACAAAAGAAAATGTGCTAAAACAGACTTTAAAAAGAAGAAGAAATAAAAAGCTCTGCTTTCTCTTTAAACCCATGAACAATAGAAGGTCATGTGATACAGTGGCCTATCATCCCGCACATTAATAGCTGTGCTAGAGTAATTACACTTGTGGTATTTTTGCCTCAAGTGAAATTCTGAAATAAGAGGATGGAAATTATGATACTGCTGATAAATATTAATAAGTGAACTTTTAATTTTTTTGCCACAATATTCAAAATGCTAAGCATCCTGCTAATGCTGAAGCAGCCCGATGTGTTTGCCTCCAGGGAGTACGATGCTTTGTGCACTTAAGAAAAAAGTTTAACGGAATTAAAATTTAATATCTAATTAGAGCGAGGCTAATATATTTTGAAATGAGTGGGGGAGACATGTGCCTCTGCTGCATATTCGGGATGGCCGTTCATCTTACCTGTAAAGCTGCATTGAGAGGTGTGCAGTAGGCGTGGCTGCTCTGCATGTTTTTAATAAGGGAAGGGTTACTGCATAAGAAAAAGATAAAAAGTCAAAGTTAAACACAATCAACCCCCGAGTTCCTAACTAAGTTTTGTTTTAAGCTTGCTGATATCCTTCCTACTCAGAAATTTACCCCAGTAACAAAATCAAAGGAAAGTTAGGTTTTATCCAGATTCCCTGGCTTTCCTGGACAGGTCTGTGTGATAAACTCTGGGTAGAACAGACTCTGTTATTCCGTGAAAATGGGTGTAAAAACCTGGCTTAAGTAATAACACTTAAGGGTTGGGGCACTCCCTCCATGGATTTACTTTGGTATCTTAAAATGCTGACAAATTTTCAGCTCTTTGCCAGCAGGGAGTCAGAATACCGAGGTGCTGGACAGTGCTTTCCTGGGATATGCTGGAGGAATCTGGGTGTTTCAGCATCTCCATGGTCTGAACTCTAAAGTAATGGCTAGAGGAACAGCAGGATGGCTCCCTGGAAGATCTCCAAGGCCAAAAGAAGGCAGAAATGTGTATCAGGGGAGTGAGGTGGGAGGTTGGACTGGCTTCATTCTCGAATAGCCAAATCTGGAAGGGTATGAGAATATGGAGTGCTGTCCATTAACTGAACAAACGAAGAGAAGATGCTGTTTTCAGAAAATCTCTAAGTCTAATAAAAATACTAAATAGTCAAATAGGAGATGCTGAGGGGAAGGAGTGGCTTCTAGTAGGAAATCACCTATATATTTATCAGGGGGCCATGAAATTAGGAAGTATATGTGCTGCTATCATTTTTTTTTCCCCTATGCTGGGAGTATTTTAATCATTCATGTCACTACATTTATATTATTACACTGGATGACAAATAAGAAATTTACCCTGTTAAATACACACTTTAAATAAAAGCTTCCTTTTACTTGGAGGAATTATGGGTCACATTAAAGTACGTAGTTATAGGGTCCCAGTAAGCTGCTGAATCAAAATACAACCAATATTTGCATTAAAGACTTCAAAAAAGCATTATTCAAGGCACTGGTGTTCCAAAGAGAAACGAGAGAAATACATGTATAAATCACACAATTTAGTTCTGTTGCAGAAAGCCGTGGCACTGCTACTTGGTGAAATGCAAAACTACATGGGATGAGTCAACCATGCAAAGCCAAAGCAACAGCAGAAAAAAAAAACAAAAGCAAGTAAAGGCTCTTACTGTGCGACAAGCTCGTCAAAGTTTTCATCGGGGCAGTATTTGCGAGGACGGCCTCGTTGAATATGGCGGCCACGTTTAAACTCTTCATCATCAACTGTCCAAAAGGACCCAAACTCATCCTCTACTCTGATAAAGCACTTATGCAGTGAGAGGTTGGTGCGAATGGCACCCTGGGATAGGAGCAGCAGCAAAGGAGATGAAGTGGCAACAAAAGGAGACGGGGTTGGGGGCAGAACAGACATCCAATACAGGGAACAGGAAAAAGAAAATAAAATGCAATAAGCATAAGCAAATGGTTTGTGAGGGTTAATATGCATTGCCACCTAAAAGCTACTAGCATGTGATGCAACAAAGACCGGCAAGCAGGGCGGGGGGACTGGTGGGTATACAAAACAGGAGGGATGAAATGCTTTTTTGCTTCCCTTAACTGCGACAACGTGAAACCAGTTCTTTGGTCTAACACCATCTAGCAGCCAAAAGCCTCTACGTTATACTTGTTAGCACAATCCAAGCTAGGCTAAGAAGTTCAAACATGGTGGACATACCCACTGATCTTTTGTGGCCTTCGTTTTTGGAATTCTACTTCATCCACTGTCCATACTGCCCCTTTAACGTTTTCTACTCGCACAAAACACTTGTGAAGACTAAGATTATGACGCACTGCATTCTGCAGCAAGTATAAAAGAGAAAACATTTACATTTTCTATAAGAAAAGACTCCAAAAACAGCAGTAAATTCAGCCTAACAGTCCCCATTGTAAAACCATACCCCAAAACTGGAGCTACCGCCCCCGTGGATAATCTTCTTGTGGTTAAGGATCCCTTTTCCAGAAGCAAAATTTTAAAAACCAAATTGTAAGTTAACTGTATTTCGACATTTGAATCTAGTCCTCTGGTTATCGCTAACCAGGAGAAATATATTCTTATATGCACAGAAGCCCAAAATAGGTTTCACAGTAAAAATGGGAAAATATTGTCAGTATGATTTCAAAATAAGGAAACATGTAAAGCAGAAAACTGTCCCTTCGAAACCCATTTGTCGTCCATAACGCAGGGTAGTTTTTTAATAACCATAAAAGAGGAAGACTCAATTCATCTTGTTAACTACAGTTTTGCTCTTTTTCTTTTTGTTCTTCAATTAAGAAAAATTCTATATTGGAAAAATCCATCGAGAGTATCACCTGCTATAGCTGATCAGTATCTATGACCAGGCTATGTCTTTTCTTACCTTTCCAAAAACATATAAAAGTTACATTTGCTATGGGCAAGTAACCTTAATTAACTGAGAAAATGACAAAGGAACACATGACTAGCACTTTCAATGGCAAAAAGGATGATATTCCCGCAGCTGATGGATTCTATAGACACATGTTTCTCATGATTAAAAAATCACTTCTGGTCATCCCTAAGCTGAGACCCTTGACATCTATAACCTACCTAAAAAAGGAGGATCTCAACACAAGTGTGAAGAAGTTTCAACAGCCCATCTTTCCTTTGAGTTTCAGAAAATCTACAACCCTAACTGGGTATAATAGGAAGCCCTGCTGGGTGAACTGACTGATCTCAAAATGGGGCCAATGGGTATTGCAAAGAGACCCATGTCATTTACTCAAAAATTTCTTCTTATAGGGAATAAAAGTAGGGGGCTCTCTGGTGCATGAGGATCTGATGCATGTATCACACCTCATGTACCCTGTGGGTACACAATTCCAATCATTCTGCTATTGTTCAAACATTTCTGCACCCCTCTCCTCCCACCACTTACAATAATTCTCTCTAAATTATCCTTCAAGGGGGGCAGTTATCTTGATACTTCAAGGGGTGTTTCAAATTTTGGATCATCACAATTGGTGACTCTGTAAGGAATCAAGCTGGATAATTATTTTTCTTTTCTGATACAGAATATTGAAAAGATAGGGAGACACTGTTTATTACATGGCATGATGAACTGCCCACAAGGAGAATTCACGGGACAAATTCTCAAGGAATTCTGATCAATGTCAGCACAATTGGGCATAGGTGCAGGACAAGCAGGTGACTATGAAAGGAACCCCTGATCTGGTTTGATGGGTTTGCATAAATATCAAATAAAACAAAAATCTCTAAAAACCATATGGGATGTTATAATTATACTTGGTAGCATAAATTTCTTAGCATATAAAATGGAGTCTAGTCTTTGTATTCCATGAAGTCACAGTATAAGGATGCTAAGGGTCTGCTGCTATCTCCTAGAGCAGCACTGAAGAGGTTGAAATAAAGAAATAAATCAAAATAACCTTAAAAAAAGAGAAAGCATGTGTATAGGAGCTATAACTGGGAAAGAATTCAACATTTCTTCTCATCCTAATCATTGTCTGATGTTTTAAAATAAGTATCAAAATGTACAGAATAGCAAAGATCTAAAGAAGCCACATCTGAAGAATGAATCGTTATAGCTCTGTCTGAACTAAATAGCCTGCAAGTAAAGATGTAAAGTCCAAACTTCAGTTTTGTTTTCAAGGACTATACATTTAACACAGACCAACTAGAAATCAAGTGTTCCCCCAAAAGATAAGTAAATTATTTTCAGTCACAACTTCAATTGGGCATTTCATCTTTTGTCTAAAATCAGAGTTCAAGCAAAGACATGTCTTTCTGAGTCATTAAGTACTTCTTCTAGGATTATTTATATTAGTGGTATTTTCCCCCACAGATTGCAAAAAATGTAAAAAGTTAAACCTTAAAGACATAAGCTTAAATAATATATTCTCAACTGATAACAATTTTTAAATTTGATGATTATCTATTTAATAAGAGGCAACTTGAAGAAAATATCTGCTCCATGTTATACTTCCTAAATGTTGAAAAGAATTCATAGTTAAAGAATTTTTTATTCATAGTTAAAGTATTTTATCTCCCAAGGTAGGCTGAGAAAGAGAGGGTAAGTTTTGAAAGTTGGTGTTCCCTTTAATACCCAGGTGTCTTAATGGAAATAAAAAAGATAATCTGGGTTACATGATATTGATGGTTCTGCAAAGTTGATAAATTAATTCTAGGTTATATTCATTTTTTTAAATTTTTTAAAAATTTTTTTGTTAAGGTAACATGAGTTTGTTTTCTTTGCATATTATAATAAATCCCTATTGTATTTATAATATGAGGTGAAAAAAATATCCTAAAATATTTAAATTTCTAAATGTTTTCAAATTTAGGGATATAAGATAGTAAAAGTACAAAAAAAATTGGGTCTGCCCTCTTTCATAGCAAAATATTAGACACTCAGAAACTGAAGGTAAGAAAATCCAAAAATTTATGGACTCTTTTAAGAACCAAATGCTGAAATGAGAATGACTTATGTCTTGTGACTCCATGCCTTATTAGGGATACACAACATGGAGTTGTAAAATTTGACCTGTTTCATAGCAAATGGTGTTACAGTGAAGTTACATAACTAAAATCTACTTTCCTTCCCCAGAAGAACTATGAGTTTCTGCCATACAATCTCTTGACATAAAAACCCAAGATTTAATAATACATTGTGTTTTCCTCTAATAAATCCCATATACAGTGCTGGTATTATACAGTTTTCTACACTATTTATCTAACCAGTGAATGTTATGTCAAATTTGTCTGGTGATTTCTCTAGATTCTTAATGGTTAAAAAAGAAATTATCTGTCTATGTGTCTCTGCAAATATTGGAGTTGGCTACACAACTAAAGGCAGGAGGTTTTGTGTCAGTCAGACCTCCACATTCCCTCCATGGAGAGGACTTGACAAGTTGGTCCACCCAAATGTAATGGGAGTCTTCTGCCATGGAAGGATTTTCTCAGTCAAATACTACTACAGAGACACGCTAGTGTAATGAGACAATATAAATGTAACTTACAACAAATGCATTTTATCCACAACAAACTCTCTTCTCTAAAGGCAAAGAGTTAAGACTAAATGGGCCTGAGAGAACACGTACCTTCCACGTGGCTGCATTGCGTCGGAAGTAAGCAAACATTCGTGTGAACCAGTTATAGATTTCATTTAGTGTTAGCTGCTTTTCTGGAGATTCAAGAATGGCCTATAAAGCAAAAGTAACAGAAGATAATTTATGGCCAAATCTGCAGAATCATCATTATACAGTTTCTTGAAAAATATAAAATAACCGTGATTGGGAGCTAAATCGTAAGAAAGGTTACAAAATAATCTAAGATTAATGGTTGTATTTAATAGTTCAATAGCAAAATTCAAAATGGAATTATCTAATTGTTTTGAGTTTTTATTTCTGTTTCCGTACAGAAATATTAATTTATTAGTCATTCATAAAGCAGAATCAAAGAGAAATGCAAAACATTTCACTAGCTGATTAAAGCTCAGTAATTATTTAGAGCTCAGATTAATTCTAGGGATCAGAGATTACTGTAGCTTGTGATAATTGACTTGCCATCTTTAAACAGGCTCATTTTCACTGTTGTGTGAAATGAATTTCCTAATAATCACATCGTATTGTAATACTTAATCAAAAGCAATTATGTTATATATTGCAGTTTTAAAAAACCTTATAGAAAAGGTTTTAGCATGCTTGCATACTAAACGGTTTTAAATCTACTTCATCAATATAATATATCCATGTACACGTACACCTTTTGATATAATTTCACATACTGTGTTATTTACTCACCTGCCTAATTAAAGATGCATATGTAAATGGTGGTCTAACTTCTGCGTTCTTATAAAATTCTTGGTTCTGCGCAATATCTGCTAAATAAGAATCATTGTCCTATTAATGATCAATTTTAAAAAAGAGACTCGTCAACAAGTATTGCATATTACAATTCTACAGGAAGCAAAAATGGAGCATCTACCTGAAGAAATGGGCACGTTGTATTTGTCTGAGTACCGCCTGCGGATGGGTCCCACCGTGTGCATGCTGCTGGTGGTGATGACGGAGGGGCCTTGGGTGACGGGAGTGATGGGGGCTGTCGGGGTCGTTGGAGTATGAGGTAAGCTCTGTGGAGAAGCCTCGGATGCGGACTTGGAGAGTGTGACACTTGATACCAGATTCAGCTGTGAGAAAAGGACCATTCTTAGAAGGCCTTCAGAAAAACATAGCAACCCAGAAAACATCTACAACCCAAGAAGAATGATACTGAGGATGCATGGCTAGTTTTGTTGCCTTAAGCAGATGTTTATTAATCAACTGAAACATGAAATTACTTCCTATATAAAAACAATACACTTCGAAGTTAGTACAGAACATCTCTTGCAATGTTCACTTCCTTCTGTTGGAACGGAGTGGATACAGAAAGTAAAAGGAGTTACCTAGCCTAGTGAGCTTGCGAAATCCTGAGTCAAAACATTTCTTTAAATCACAACTTTACACTCCTTTCAATAGCCTACCATGATTTGCAAACCTCAAAGCCAGAGATGGTGTTCTTGTAGAGAGTGCCAGTGAACAGCAATGATTTTGGCAATACGCAGTGGTATAGACAGATCTGAGTTCCCCAACAGAACTTTCTGTATCATGCTAGTATAAGCGAGGAACTGTTAATTTTTCTATTAAAATTAAACTTGCATTTAAATAGCCATAGTTAGACGACAACATGAGGATAGTCCATAATAAAAATTCATGGATGGGAACTGCTGCTTTAACTCATGCTAAAGAGGATGACACTGACCCAGTAAGCCATCCCTTGGTAGAGATTTATCTTTGGAAGTTTTATGTGTAATCTTCATTAAACTCTATCAACTATAGGCCTGGAAGTTGTTAATTTAAAAGGAATACTGTATGAGAGATCTGGAACTGTAAACTTTTTGATTTTTTTTCCTTCATGTTTCAAATTTTCAGGAATGATATATTGAGTCATGGAATGAATATCTGAAGTAGGAGAGGCGAACAAGAATGAGCATTGTTTTGATACCTTCTCCCCTAGCCTATCTTCCTAGTTTCACCTTGAAGTGCTTTTCTTATTAATACCGGTAAAACAGGCACTGGTACTGTAATACCGGTAAAACAGCACCTTGAAGTGCTTTTCTTATTAATGGTGGTAAAACAGGCTCCCTTTCCCCAAGTTTGTTGTTATAAAAATGTTAAGTCTGGTGATGCTAACAAACTTGGTCTTTTTCAGCGTATCTACAACATTTTATATAGAATGGCTACCGTAGATACATACAAGCACCCCAAATCCACAAAACTTCAGCAGAGTAGACTGCTAAAACCAAATTTCAAAGTGCTGAACAAAATAAGTCTATTTTACCACTGCTGCTGTCATAAGTACAAGACATTATTTGAGGAAGATATTAAAAGTGAGATTCCTCTGAGATCATAATCAAAGAACATATTAAAAGGGAGTTACAATCTGTTGAAAAGACTCAACCTTATTCACACACCAAGAGAAACTTCTCCATCTAATATGTTTAGGGTAGTTCCATAAAAAAAGCAATACATGTGAAGAATAAAAAGATCACATATCATTGGGGAAATGTAATGGAAATATGTAAATGATACTGGAAACTCAAAGTTGGGCTGGACGCTTGCAGTTGTGTTTTTTTCTTATTTTTGGCTTGGAATGTTGACTCAGCAAAACAACCCACAACCCCAATGCCTGAGAAGAGCAAGCTATGGAGATGGCTCTGCCCAGACAAATCCCCTGGCAAGCTGGGAAGATGCTGTGTGCTGCTTTTTTATTAGTTCTGGAAAGCACTTCATCACTCATTTGGTAACTAAATGTTAGGAGCTCATAGTAGCTGCCATGTGATGGAGCAGAGCTCAGAACCAAGGGGGAAGACTAGGGCAGATCTTTTTTGACTTGGGCCTTTATCACAGACCAAGTACAGAGACGGTGTGTATGAGCATCAGCCCAGGCAAAGAGTCAAGGAAATTGATGCGTGAGAGGTTAAAGCTCATAAATATACAGCTTTTAAAATTCAGATGCTGCTAAGCCTAAGAATATCAGAACACCATGGAAAGTCATGGATAACATTTGTAAAACTCATGTTGCAAACCATCTGCCACTGTTTGGTTTAATTGAATTCTTAGACCATCACTAACACTTAAGACATTATTTCCCATTATTTTACAAATAAGCAAACTGAGGCCCATGAAACCTGGGCCTGAAGTCAAACAAATATTGTATGACTATAAGCCTTTTCATAATCATCTTCTTATGCTCAGTTAAAAGGCAAAATAAACAGTAACTAAAACCAGTTTCACTTTTCTGTATGCTCAATTTTGGAAAACATTCAGTGACTAAGCTTTTATCTCTGCTATAAATGACAGTCAGTACATATTATCAAGTAAATACAAGGCATTCTTGAAATGACCAAAACAAGAATAAAAAACACAGTTGCTGCCCTTGAAGAGCTTACCATCAAATCCAGACATTGGTCAAAGGAAAACATGTACACTAATCACCAAATAATTTTGAGAACTGACTCCAGTATTTCACCTTTCTATCCAGTTTACGAACATTACCCTAAACATTGTGGTTTTCTTTAAAAAAAAAAAAAAGTAATGAAAATTATATCTAAACTATAAATCTAAACTATAATAGAAATCTAAAATAGAAATCTAAATTATAATACAAATACAGCACAATCTTCTTAAGAAATATGCACGCTTCTTTCCAGTTTTGTGAGGAAGATCAAGAATTCACCAAGTTAGAGTTTAATTACCAAAAGTGAAAACTTTAGGTAAACAGCAAGGGCAAGCCCATCATGTAGGTGTTCACCAACTAGAAGAATAGATAAGTCACATGGTATAATGTCACAAAATGTGAAAAAACTGATTCTTGTAGATTTTACACATGTGTTAACAATTGGACTGTTTCTACCAAAAAAGCCACAGTGAAAAATAAAATTCCTCCAGGTTAGCATGAGCCATGAAGAAAGAGATACAGAATTTTATGGAAGCTTTTGAACATCGGTAGCAAGTGGAAATAAACACTAAGCCAGGAGAGAGCAGAGAGGGGGCTTTACCAGGCTTGACAAATGACACTGTGATTCACACCCACTGCTGGGTTGTCTCTAATAAGCCACAGAGGAAGCAGCCAATCTCAGCTAATTACCAGATAAAAATGTATTGTAAGGACTCTAATTAGGAAACGCGAATGGAGGTGATCTAATGATTAAATGCAGCATTCGAGTGACCCCACCATCAATGTGCAGTGGTGCAAGATGTCAGTGGAATATTTTGTAGAAACAGTAATTTTATTTCGAGGAGGGGAGGCAGTAATATTTGTAATGATGGCTATGAGGTAAACTAATTAAAAGACAGTTCCTAGAGGAAGAGGGTGTCTGAGAGCAGCTGTGGCCATTCCAAAACCAAGTGCCAAGTCTCAATAGAGAACTGCAGTCAAGTGGAAAATTTCTGCCTGACCTCTGCCCTTGCTATTAATTTGCAGAAAAACTAATGACACATATACATATTCCCACAAAATTGTTCTAATTGCTAATTTGCCAAAGGAGCCCAGATTCCAAATTAAACATGACTGTAGCCTGTGAGGGAAAGAAGAACAAAAAGCTGTAAACTCCAAACAGGGTGCTTTGCCTCGAGAAATCATTTGAAGGCTGAACCAACAAGTTAATGAAATGTCAACCTTGTCAACTGCTATAGAAGTTTCTTAACTTTTAAACTTTTGTTTCATGATCACATGCTTGTCTTGAGGAACAACCATGTTGGGTGGAGGGTGGTCATGAGGGAGACAGAAGATGGAGCATGAAGGAGCCTAAACAGGCTGTGTTCAAACCAAACCTTCTTTTCTAATGAAGGTCTCTGAAAAAACAGGAACCCCTCCTCCAAAAAAAAAAAAAAATAATAATTACAGACTTAGAACAGAAGAACATATCGGGAACGGTGTAGATTTTGCTGTAATCTTGAAATAGTCATTTTAATTGTAAACTATTAAATCTTTAACGCACTCATCAATTAGAAATGAAAGCATATGTTTCTTGTTTCTGATTGTAATTAAGTTTTAAATGATAATTTCTTTCCTGGGCATGGAGCAGGAAGGGATTGGACTGGGAGGGTTTCTTTTCCTATTCTCCTTATTGTGTTCATTTTCTATTTAAAAAGAAGTTGCTATGTTTAGAAAAGCTAGTTACTCTGATATTTTCTACATGGCAAGTTTCTATCATGTGATGATTTTGACAAAGATAATCGCTTTGAAACTCTGGCCAAAAGTTACATTCTTATGTCACTGAAAATTGCTGTAGGGTTTTATTTTTTTCATGTGTGTTCTCAACCATCCCTCTTTCTCCCCAATGCAGCTCTAGGACTATTCTGGAAATCTTACCCCATCCAAACTATTGGAAGTGTATCAGCTACCTAACATTCTGGTTAGTCCTTTTAAAAGATTAATCTTTACTTTTTAAACAGTAACCTCCTCTCTCTCTTGAAGATGATGAGTCACTCACATTTTTAAAAAATAAACAAACCGCTGACGTAAAGCCCAGACAGAAACAGACTTGTCGTAAGTATTCCCATAAGAACTCATTTTTATTTTTGTTTGTGCTCTTGCCTCACATGAAAACAGATTCTGAGAACAAAAGACAAACCTGAAACCAAAACACCAAGGGACACAGCTGCTTAGTAGGGACTTTCAGGCTCACAGAACTCGTTTTTCTGCTGTTGGTTTTACTGGCCTGAGCGGGCTCAAATCCTGCTTTAACTGCCCGGCGTTTCTAGACATGAATCACTCGCCTTTGGAGACGAGCTGGCTCTTCTGAGGCTGAAGGGACGTTAGGAGACCATGGGGAGGCTAGGGAGGCCTTTTCAATCTCCTCTTCCTCTCCTAGCCTGGGCCCTGCTACTGGATTAGAGCCTGGTGCTGGTCGGGGCCAACGACCAGGAGGGTGGTAAGGCTGACAGTGACATGGAAAACAAACCAGAAAAACTGGCCTTGAGTTGAGGAGGGGGACTTTGTGAGTAAGCCTGTGTGTGTTGTGCCTGAGATCTCTTTTTATGGCTGCATGATATTATTTCTGAGTCTAAAGCAAGGCCGCAGCCGCCTGAAGGATCATTCATTTCTTTCAGAGTTAAAAGACCCCTTTTTCAGAGGGAAGCACTT